TTCACCTCACCCAAACTGCATAAAAAGCTAAAAATCAAATCCGATGTCTACTACTCGCCGGAATACCCCAACCAAGCAGGGTTCGATTCCTTCATTGTCTACAATCATATTGTCTACTTGTTTCAGTTCACGGTCAAACCTAAATATGACATCAAGGACAGTCAAGGACTTCGTCAATTTCTTCAGCAAATGCACTGGCCTCCCATCGCAACAGCACTGGCGGTTCATTTTCATCAAGCCACCTGACATCCGCTCCACACTGAAATGCATGTTCCCGTCTACCGATGCTTTGCGGAAGCTTCCACTCTACTCGGCAGAAGTGGATATGGATTAGAGTGCACATCTGTGTTGTTAGTGACAACCCAAAGCTTTTCTTAGTATCAATTAATCCTTGAGGCGGGGTCTAACATATGTATCGGAATATATATACCCTTCTAACATTGATATCAGCCAGTTCCAATCTCTGTTTGTGTCATTCAATCCATGAAGAGTCTATTTTGATATCACATTTCTCCACCGCATCCTTACGCCTCTTCTTTAAATAAATCCAATTGTCTGAGCCTCCAACTGGTGCTGAATATTGTCCATAATGGCCGCTAGCGTTGGACTGATTACCAGTGCCATCTCAACAACCTGTGGCACGGACGATCCTTATTGCTTGCGCCACCGGAAATGTACTCAGGCAGTAATAACACGTAAAAGCACTGCGGAAGTACACACACAAGTGAGCAGCGAAGCTGATTATAGTTTCTCTGTAGTGTTAAAAAAAGCTTGATTAAAATCTAAAAATACACACTATGGAATTCGATCTCAGGCCTCGAGTCCCGCTCCAGATGTAACTCATCTGAGTCGCCGTAGTCGATGTCATTGTATGGGAACAGAATTAGATATAGACCACAAATTCGGCTGTCTCCTTGAGGTGGTCATGTATATCTGTTAGTAAAGATGTCTTATGCATTGTGGGACCCTGGCAGACAATTTTTGTTAGGGATCCCAGGCTGCTCGTGATGGCGGTCTGTGTTGTTAGGGTTCCTCGAAACTCCTCTGAGAAGTGATCCAGCACAGGTAACAAGTTGAGAACAGGCACAGAAAATGCGGGCTATTCAGGACTGGGTTAATGATACTATTGCACCGCGCCTCCAGCCTTAGGCGCTCAGAATGTCCCTCATGGAGTCCTCGCTTGGCATGCACCGCCAAACTCTGCTCCCCATGTTCGAAGAATCAGTTATCCGGAAAGTACGTTTGTGGATAGGTTCTAGGACGAGGTTCAGAAATGCGATGTTTGAGTCGCAGACAAACCGAGAAGGAAAAAGTGTCGTCGACCGCGACGGATCGGCGAGTACCTCGTGAATTCGAACCTATGGTAGTTTCTCGGGCGGCCACGAAGTTCAAGTTCAAGTTTTCAAGAGCTCGAAAACGGCTCTAGATTGGTCATAAAACAGAATCCACATGTATTATTCCTGAACATCATTTCTTTTCGGCAGGTATAACGGTGTTTGCTGTGAGATCCCGCACACCTTTCAAAAATGTCGCCAGGTCAGTGCCTCCGGTACCTTTAACGCCTTCGCTGGGTCCGCCAATAATTTCCTTCTGCTTCTGCGCACGCCTCGCCGGTCCCAATATGTAAAGGGTTACAATGCGAATGTGAGCATCGCGGAAGCCATTCAAGGCCCGTACGGCCGTATTGTATGCCTCGATTGCCTCTGCATCTTCAGAGTCCATTACGAGAGAACGTAATGGTCTTGGATTCGCCGAAATGTGACGAAGGAAAGCACGGTGAGCCAGTGGCATGTATGATCGCATCCGTTCCAGGAACGTCGGCACTTTATCGAGCACCTCTGCGACGGCGTTGGACTGGGTGCCAGAAATACCATGCAAACCGGAGAAGCTGTTCACCCCTAGAAAAACATCCAGGGCATGTATAAGGGGACTCTGGCCAGCACTCGTTCCCGATAGCTCTGTAGGCTTCTTGAGCTCCCCAGGATCTTCCAATCCTTCGAATACCCAAGCACGTTCGGCGGTCTGTCCGCCAAACCATGGCCTAACGTCATGATAAAATACCTCAGGATCACAACCTTGGCGCACACCCAATAACAACTGTGTTAAGTCGTTAATGACAGCTGATATTTTGTGCAGGAGCGATGCAAGGTGAGAAGGGGTCATAGACGGGCCTTCATTTAGGATGTTAATCATCAATGAAAGAGCTTCGCTACCGCGGAGCTCGATGCGCGTCGTGGCCAGCTGAAACTCTTCTTCGTCTTTAGTGCCTGTGAAGGTCAACTGGCTGCAAATGTTCTGCGTCGTGGGCAGAACATCCATGCATCCCGCCTTAAATGTCCAGTTGTAATGGACCTCGTCTGACAAGACGTGCACTGGAGGAAGGTCCAGGAGATTGCATATTTCGAAAAGAGGGATGGTGACTGGTGGGGGAATACGGATAGGTGAAGACAACGGCAAGGAGTGTATGTAGGTGTGGAGGATCCATGCGAGAACTTGGTGCCCTCGGCGGAGTAGTGCCTCCGATTTCTGCATCTCCGCGATAGACAAAATCGGCAGCTTATTTCGGACGGCATCAGAGTAATGTTCTGCGAAAAATTCAACCGTCAGGACAGCATACCTCACGAATGCGAGCCCTCCACGCTTCTGACGCGGAAGTATCTTCGACAGATAGATTAGATTTGCTGCCTAGCTGCAGTCTAGTCGCTTTCAGATCGTCCAATGCGCATTCCCAAGCCTCCCATTGGCTTGGAAGACGGGAAATAGGGATAATGGGTGGTATGAAGCCAGTCCGTGCATCTATTTCGAAGTCCTGGGCGAGAGTATGAGTTGGATACTGGAGGAGAATCATAGTATTCTCTGGTCTCGTCCAGGACACCCGCAACCTAGATATGAATGAAGTTGGCACATGGACCCGGATGAGATCCGACGCGGAATGTAAAAAGGAGTGGAAGTAGTAGTGGAAGGTGGGATCAGAGGCACATATTTATCCGATGTCAAGTTGTGCACGTGCATGTCATGGGTCACCTCAGTCTGCGAGGCGCAGAGACCATGGTCATTGGTAACCCAATTGGGCGACCGCAGTATCGAAAAAGGCCAGTCAGGCCAGGAAGCCCTGGTAGGCCTGCAACGGAGCCGACAGATTGTACCACGAGGCAAGGTGGTTTTGAGATGAAGTAAAGAACAAAACTAAGCGAGGAGTCCGAGTCAATGCTTATGCCTTAAATTTCGAAGTCCGCGGCATACATAATTGTGCCTGGCCGTTGAATGTTGAACCATCACTGCATAGCACTGCATTGCCTCAGACCTCAGGCCTCAGTGCTCTGTCGACGGCAATCCTGCACATCCCTCCGGTATTTGAATTGTTCCAAGAGATGAAGTGTCAAACGCCTGTCGCGCCCTCGGTCGTTCCTGGCCGGAATACCTAGCAAGCTGCCAGTGATGCGGTCCAAATTTACCGCACCCTCCTCACCTGACTCAATTCATTTGTTCAAAGCATATAAAGCAACCACGAGCTTTGCAATGCAACAAACATAGCCTCTTATCACTCCACCATGCGTTTCACCCTCATCGCTGCTCTTCTCTCCTGCGCTGCTGTCTCTACAGCCCACATCATTGGTATCAGTGGGCCAACGAAATATTCACCAGGAACAAATTCGAAATACCCTCTGAAGTTCACTACTAGCGATGGCCCCATTACAAAGTACGGATAACTTTAACTTGTTTTCATTTCTTCAAATGTCATAATGTCATAATAATTGCCTGTTGCAGTGAGGACTTTTCCGTCGTTATCGGCCTAGGCAACTCTGCCACGGGCTCTGAAGCACTGGGCACATTCATACATAACTTTGACCTTGAGAACAGCGGACATGGCTCTACGGTGTGTATTAGGAGATATATGTTGCCTTCGGCTTTGTGATCTGAATATTTGGGCCCATAAGGCAGACGGAAGTTTCACTCTTCAAGTTCCCCTTCCAAGCAGCGCATTTAACAATGGCCCTGGCGACTATGTTATTATAGCCGCCGTGACCAATGCCGACGGGGTGAGTTTTTGCACGTCGATCTTCATGGGCTCGTCAAATTTTAGGCGCTTAATTATTGCTTCTAAAGGCGCAGTGGAACGTGAATCTCAAATTTTTCACTACGACCGTTACCGTTACTGGCGTTTGAAATGGCATGAGAACACATATCTTCAGTTTGGACAGCTCCGAGGGACGGAACATTCGCCATCGGACATCATGTTACGCAGATAATAATATTCTGTTTGGGGCTTACATTATGGGTGCTCGATGGATCGGACATTATGACAGAAAGCACTGTTGCCGTGGTTGAGAATCCCAGTGAGAGGTAGTCATATTTACCAGAATCTGCATGGAGAATGTTTATGGGTTGGTTGCATGATGTGTCTGCTATAGGATTTGTGGTGAGGCGCAGGCTGTCTGCTCCCGCCGCGTTATTTTGGACCCACTCTGACCCATAAATGAATGTCGCGAGTAGAAATATTAAATCTTGGAAGCAAAATTCTCGCGTCTCCCTGATTATTTGGGGTCATGTGTTTACTATACTCTCAAGTTATGTAAATCAAATCGAATATTCCAAACCATACCCTTTGTTCGTGCAAGTTTCAGATTCCCAAATTCAGAAAAAGGCTCAAAAAGGGCCCAGCCGGGAATTGAACCCGGGACCCCGCGCAATCCTAGTTTACCCAAAGCGCGTATCATGCTACTAGACCACTGGGCCACAAAAGGATAAGCCATCCGAGGTACATATATTCGTTCAATCCCAATATTATTTAATCTCCACGTGATGTGACACCATAACCTAAACGAGGATTTTTTGCGTATTTGTCCGCAAATCTAGTTCCGCACGACGATTATCTAGTCGTATACCAACGAGATGGTATTGTTGACATTTATGTAAAAAATCTGCAGAT